GAGCTAACATGTTTTACTTTTTGTATTAGTAGTATTGATCACATATTTGCATATAAATAGATTTATTGCGAGTACAAAAACCAAAAATAAATATATTCTGTTATGTTTGGTCACATTTTCGAAGAGCCACTGCAGAGGAACCAAAGAGCCACATGTGGCCCCAGAGCCTCAGGTTGCAGACCCCTGGTCTAGACTGAAGTATACTCAACACTGTTTAAATGTAAACAAATGCACTGTAGCTGCGCACTTACTTTACTTACTTTACTTTTACTTACTTTATCACTGATCATACACATAAATGATTCAAATCAAAAACACTGAAAATTCATGTATTTTAACAGATACTGTGGCTTTTTTTTTTACATAAAAATCTCCATGATATTTGACTTTGTTCACCCTTATTATAGTTGAGCTTTTAACTCAAATATCTGAAGAAGCCAAGTTTGAAAGGAGCCTTGCCAACTCACAGCAAAGAAGTTATTTCCCTAAATTGCTCCTTATTAGCTGTCTACCCAACGTCTCACCTGATGGAAGGGGTCCCTCCTCATGTTGCGGCTGGCCAGCGGCTCATCAAAGGGGAACACCACRGAGTAGTTTTTAGCATACGACTCGTGGCTCCTCTCTCTGATCCAGCGTTTGTTGTCCGTCAGTGAGTGATGAAAACGCCTGAGACAAGAATTCAAACGATTAGCCCTCATTAAAAGTCAGACCTTGGTAATGGAGCTGATTATTATGGAGCCTCCTGGAGCTCTTTGCCTGAAGCCGGCCTGGACCTGCAGAACTGACGCACCTGATGTCGTAGCCGTACATGTCCTTATCAGGACGACCGTGTATGATCCAGTGAGCCAGCTCTCTGCCACACCCACCTCCCAGCATCATGCCTGACGCAGAGAAAAGATCAGAGATGTAAGTTTACAATTTAGCACAACTAAACATTAGCTTGACTAACATCTGAACCGCTTCACAACTTCTTTAGTTATGCTAACAAAATTAGCAGAAGCTAAAGCTGAACCGCTAACAACGTGCTTATGTTGCACTCAGTGGTTTCAGTTTTACAGTCAATAACTTATATATACGTATATAACTAATTYATGTCTCGTTTAGAGGTTACATTATGAGAAAAAGGTTTGTTTCAGTGAAGCCAGGAAGCAGAGCTACAACCAGGAAGTTCGGAGCGAAGGAAGAGAGAAAGAGAAAAAAAAAGGCTGTGACAAATTACAGCCGTTGAAATTGTGTTTCTMCTAATTTAGCTCTTATTGATTAAACAGTTTTAATGCTAAACTAAATAAATATTTGTATGCCCCAGATTAAAGCAAACGTGTCTTTGTTTCATTTTTTTTTATTTTGCAACAAACTCAGGAAATCATCTCTGTGACATTAGACTTGTATAAACTTGAATAATTGTTAAATAGACCTCTAGGATGATGTCCCAGCTGCAAAGGATTCTGGGAATACTTCTAAAAAGTGTTGTTTCTGACTTTTTGCAACAATTTTGAGTGTGGACATTGGGTTTTMTTGGCAAATTCTTGTTCCGTTTCTGTTTAAAATCTGTATTAAGTCTGTTTTTGCCTGTAAACTGAAACCATGAGTCAGAAGTTCTGGTCCGTACAGAAGAAGACGCAACTCGGCACGGGGATGATAGTGTGTCACAGTGATTTCTAGTAGTGACTGCTAGACATGGATTTGCTTTAATGAGCATAATGCTGCTGCATGGGAAAGTCAACATAATTAAAAGCAGTGAATGAAATAACTGATTTATTTTAGCAGGAATTAAGTTTGTTACTAGTTTTTAAAATTAATGCAAATGCTATTAGAGGATGAGCAGAACTGTGGCAACCAATGAGTTTAGACACAAAGATCAATTCAAACTTAAACTTAATGAGCTGCTTTGATTAATCAAGTTGTGCATAAAGTCTCATAAGATTTGTTTTGCACCTTTCATACATAAAAAATAAAAAGATACAAATAAAAGAACAAAACTACACATCTCGCATTATTACTGCATGACAGCAATAGAAAAATCTGAACAAGCAACAGCTATGTTCCCCCTTTTCCCCTCACCTACAGTCGAGCCTTTCAGACACACTGTAAAAAAAAAACAACAGAAAACTCTCATTAATTTTGAAAAGGGAAAGAAAGATGGTGTTTTGTCCTTTGCCACAGCTGTCATGAGACGAGAACGAGCCACAGGAGGATTGTGTTGACCTTGTTTAAAAAGAGCCCCCAGAGCAATCTGACCTCAACATCCCYGTCTGACGCCTGCAGCTCCCGCTGTTTGTTTCCAACCAACCAGCAGACAAACACAGTCAGGAAGTGTCGGGGTTAATGAGCCGGGCTCTTCTAACAACCGTCTGCTTGTTCTATGAACACGTTACATGAGTGCGTGTGAATATCTTTACATCTGAGCGGCGGGTTGGTTGGTAGGATGGAAGGATGGATGGACAGAAAAGGGGATGAATGATTAAAAAGGAGGATGATGATGGAGCTCTATCAAGGACAAAGTGAGGTGTCTCTGATAAGATGTCACCAGAGATAAGCAGCTTCCGCTCATCTGTCATTTCAAGATTCTCCAATTGTGCTTCCTCTTTAAACATCAGTTTCCTTGTTTTTTTTTTTTTTTACATGCTGGCAAGTTTTTTGTGTTGTTCTTTTTTTAAAGAACTGCTTTCCAAACTTTGAGCTGACTTTCATTAAACAGAGAAAAACTCAGTAACAGAACCTGTAAAGTTGTTTTTGTTCCCTTTCAAAGTAAAAATGTGAACAATTCCTTTATTTTCCTGCCTCTTTTTAGAACTAGTTACATTTTCTTATATGTTATAGGAGTTGGACAAAAAGTAATTTAGGCAAATAACTTTACTAAGACATTTTCTTTTTGTTTTTTGTCTTTTCCAAATAAGCCTATGTTTCATTTTTCAGGAAGAATGACAGACACCCATGCTTTTATAACTGAGTATTTTAGAGGATATGACAAGAAAAGGGTCTGAGAACTCAAGACAATGAGGTACTGGGTCACATGAAGCCACCTTAATTAATTTTAGGTCTGAATGTAATATTTTTTAGACATGAATGTAATATTTTTAGATATGAATGTAATTTTTTTTGACATGGTTAAAATATCCGTATAAGACGATAGAGGATTTCTATTTGAAGCATGAAGAAAGTATTAAAAAAAGCAAAAAACCTGAGAAAATGTTCTTGGTGGAAGAGAAAGCTCTCCCTCTCACACAAACACTACATGTATTAGTGGATCATACAGGCAATATTTTRGGGTTTTATTATATAAAAACTAAATCTGAGGTTTTCTTCTTTAGAATTAGGTTCAATTCTTGTGAATCAGTGTAAGAGCTGCTGCARAGCAAATTAATTACACAGCACAAGCACGATATGCACGACAATAAACAAATGCACTGCAAGTTAATTACTGAAGTGCTCGATGTGAATGTTTGTGACGCCGTGAATAAGCAAACTGAGGTTGCCAAGCAACAAATCCAACGTCTTCCAGTCTACAGAGCAATCTCGCTCGCAGTTTCCTCGGAAAATCAAAATGAACTCCATCAAGCGAGGAGGCTTAACGGAGTCGGATGCAGGCAGATCCAAAGGTGCGTTTTATTTTTGTACCGAGACGTTTTCATTTTGACCCTGTAGTTTCCTCCTGTTGCACCACCTGGAGCCTGAAGAGCATCTGAGAGGCAGCCAGAAACTCAGAGAAAGCTTTCAAAGGGTCAAACACACAAAGACATTTGGTGACAGGCAGTAATATCTATATGTGTCTCTTTAAAGATGAAATCCAACATGGGACAGGTTATCCTGACATATATATAAAAATGGTGCAGTTTGTAAATTTACTCCAGTAGTTTTTCAGATTAATGCAATTATAAAATGACTGCCAAAACATTTACCATTGATATAAAAAATAAACAGATTATTATCATTTCTGTCTTCATGACACTGCAATCTTTAAATGGATCCATGATTACTTGTAATATTAAACATTATTTGATAAACATTTATTTTAACTGTTAAAAACAAAAAAAATGTAACAACAAAATGTAGGCTATTCAGCCTGGAGGTTAATCTTGAATAATATCTGACATTCAGCCCTTTTAACTGAAACCAGAAAGCCTTGACAGACAGGATAATGTAGAAATGATTCAATCTTCAACTGAAAATATGGATGGAGGACAACAGAGCTGCTTCATGTAAGTAGAACCTCAGTTTAGCCTGTTAGCTTTCAGGCTAGCGCCAAGCTAATACGGCAGGTAAAACTCTGTTAAAGCACACCTGATTTGAATGAATGGGTGATTATCAGGCTTCTGCAGAACTTGGAAGAGGTCATTCAGTGACTGAATCAGATGTGTTGAAGCAGGGAAAAAATAAAACATGCAGGGCTGTGGCCCTCGAAGACCAGCCTTTCCCACCCCTGCAATACAGCGATATAGTGTTAGCCTCTGAGCGAATTAGCTCAGGAACTGACAACATATACAGTATATCATTAATAAATATGTGACGTTAGTTTATATATTGCAAATAACATATCACCATATACATATACAG